CTCGTATGAATATCTCAAATTCAAAAATATATCGCCATCATAATCAGTGTCTTTGGAAACACAACTGCTCTGTCCAATATGATTTGGGGCTATTTCACTGTCCATTTCTGCTAGAGGTGTAATATTCTTGGCATCAGGCAAAATGTCAAGCTGCGGTAGCTAGATCAATTTCGAGTTGAAAATTCGAGCTGTAGCATTTCGTTAAACTGTCACTGCGTTATGCTTATCTAATACCGATCGTCCAATCAGTACAACGCGACATATTTTATAATCTGTCTGGAACAATAAGAACGGGAACTTGCGCTTAAAGTAAACCTCTGTCTACTTTAAGGTGCACGTTGCTCATACCCAAAGCCTTGGATACGCCGTCGCCATAACCCTTTAAACATATTGTCAACAACTTAAGTGAATACCACTCTGTACATCAATTTTATTAAAGTGTGTCGACGAGTCACCATTAATTTGGTATAAATACCGCATCGAGATTCATTACCGGCAGACTGAGGCTAGTGCAAAGTAGCTCAATTGGGAAAAGCCCCTCTAGCTGTCTTCTCCCAGTGTGAACTACCTTTAATAGGAAACGTCCTTCTGGGAGTATTGAACGCAGCAGACTAAGACTAGTGCAAAGTACCTATCTCAATTGGGAAAAGTCCCTCTAGCTAAATCTTCTCCCAGTGCAAACTACCTTTAATGGGAAACGCCCTTCTGGGAGTATTGAACGCAGCAGACTAAGGCTAGGGCAAAGTACCTCAATTGGTAAAAGCCCCTCTAGCTAAGTCTCCTCCCAGTGCAAACTTCCATTAATGGGAAATGCCCTTCTGGGAGTATTGAACGCAGCAGACTTGGTCCAGTGCAACTTCATTATTGGGAAACGCCCTTCTGGACCTGTCTCAAACCCAGCTTCAGTCTTCAGTCACGCCAAGTGTACAGAGTGTACATAATACAGAGTGGCCTAAGTAGTACGTCCTTCCGTAGAAGAGACATGGTATTATTTCTAGGGTAATATTATTCTATATATTCAATACACATCTTATTGTACCTATACCATTGACCTATACCAAGCGAGTTTCTCTTATATGTCACACTCAGACCACGCTAAACCGCCTTTTCGGGCTTCGCTTTCCTTCTTAGTAACTACCTCACACCCTGAATCTACAAATCCTTTATCATAGCTATTTATTGAACAGGTTACGTAATAACCATTGCTCTTGGAAGTTGAACTAACATTACATATCATGGTTTTGCGTGTTGATGCAGACGGCTTATTTCTGAAACAGATACTCGCTGAGTGTCAAAGTTTCTTGCATACTGTACATTCTAGTCCTGGTTTTGGACAATCAAACTGTTTATATCCAAATTCTTTACAATTAAAACACTTTCCCATTCTTAGATTACGCTTCTGCTCTGCCTCTGCATTGTCTTGCTGTCTATCGTACCTCTTTGTAGACTCGGGTCTTGTACTTTCACGTTAAACTGTACAAGTCAAGGTAGCCAGGTTATCTTTTAGGCTAGTCAAAATAGGGGGTTGGGATAGAAAAAATTAGTAACAAAGTGATCTCTGCGGAAATGAGTAGTCAATAGGGTCCTTATTAATCCCTCAAAAATCACACTTTGTCGCATTGGTGGAATTTGGAAAAAAATGGCCGCCATCTTGATTTTTTTGGAATTTATTGAATATTTCGTAAAGTATGCATTATATCAAAAAAACTCAAGAGGACTTTTTTGTGGAGAATCAAAAGTTACCTACAATGGGGGAAATTTTTAAAGACCATCAGCTGCAAACGAAAAAGTTATTGACATTTATTTCATTTGGCAACATGGAATTTTTCAAAACATCTGAAAAAAACTCAAATAAGTATTATTTTTTTTAGTGCAGAATTAAAAACTACATTTAATAGAAGAAAAATTCAAGAAATTTAATGATCTAAATATTTTTGTTGAGAGGAAGCAAAAACGCATATGACCAGAAAAACATTTGGGCAGAAAACTACCCAGACACAGACAGCATACAAAGCCTTAAAGACGTCTTTTTTAAGTCTGCATTCTGCATTACATCTGACCGTCTGAAGACCAAAAAAAAAAAAAACGTCTAAAAACTTCCATAATCAGATGTCCTAAATTCACATCTCAAGGATAACTGAACTGAGCCACACTATTTCGTTCAGCCAAGCCTAGAAGTGAATAATGGTTCATGTATTGAAAAGAGATTTAAAGACTTCTTTTAAAAATTTCGTTGGAGACGAAGAATGTCTTAGTTCTAAAGGCGTCTTTATAGGCAGACTTCTGAAAGGCGTTGGGTTTTGTAACATACGTCGTCTTTAAGATGTCTTTAAGACGCCTTAAAGATTTCCCACAGAATTCGTTTTTCATTTAATTTTAGAAGTTACTTGAAACCATTTAGAATCCTACAGAACACTTTAGAACTTCGATAATAAGCCTTTTCGAAAGTTCAAAACACTTAAAATTCAACTCATAATTTCCAATAGCATTGTGTAGCGCTTCAGAACATTTTGAAAACTTCAGAACCATTATTAGAATGGAGTATTTTGGAACAATTTAGAAACTTCAGAGATATTTTAGAAGAATAACGATTCAATTTAGAACTGGAAACCTTTTAGAATGCTTTTAAACCAATTCAACTTCACTTTGGAACTTCAATAGGGCTCTAAAATACTTAAAAATCTGTCAATCTGTCAAATGAACATTTTGAAATTCAACATGGATCCTTCGAAGAAGGGAACTTCCCAATTTAGAAATTACTGAAAAACTTCTAGAATGCTCCAGAACCCAGTCAACTTGGAACACTTTAGACAAACCTCAGAATTGTGCCATTGAGCCTAATAAATAATAATAATAAAAATAAAATGAGTAATAAATAATAATGAAATATTAACAAGAAAATGTTCCTCTTTCAATTCAAATTCTTGAATTTTTATAATTTTTTCTATTTCAGGCTCTTGATTTTTCCTTACTTCTTTATCCTAAATTCTTAATTTTCTTTTGGCTTAGATTTTTTTTTCCATGTTCTTGGATTCTTATTATTCCTGTATTTTAGAATTTCAGGCTCTTGACTTGTTTTTCAATTTTCATTCCTGTCTCTTCAAATAGTTTTCTACCAAAATGAATTTTTCGTATGTTTCCGTTTAAAGAAATCAATAATTTAAGACCCTAGCGTTTAAAATAGACAAAAATTGAAAGTTATAAAATGAGTACCTAATAATAATAAAATATCAGTTCTGAAGACGTCTTTAGGCAGACGTCTGAAAGACGTTGGGTTTTGTGACACGGCGTTTTTAAGATGTCTTTAAGACGCCTTGAAGACGTAAGCCGACTTCTGAAAGACGTCCTGAATCTCGTTTGTGGACATCTTAGGGACGTCTTTAAGATGTCTGTGTACTGTCTGGATAGACACTAAGTAATTCAAATAAATTAAATTCTATACTTTGAGGTTTATAAAAAAAATCACTAAACCTTCACAGTAGTGAAAGAGAAAGACTGGAAACTTGAGAACATGCTTTAAACCTTTGACACCAAACTTTTCGATAATTACTGTTGCTTTTTTTTTATCTCAATATAGGTATCTTTAATTCTCTACTAACAGGCATTCTAAAGTTTTATTAGAAAAATCCATACATTTCGCGATTTTACCTAAAGTTCAAAAATTTCCAGATTTTTAATTAAATTAATTCCCAATAACTTTTTGTTTTCCAGCTTATAGTGTTGAAATTTCTTTTATTATAAGTAACTTTTTATTCTCCACAAAAAAGCACTCTTGAGTTTTTTTGATATAATGCATACTTCACGAAATATTCAATAAATCCGAAAAAAATCAAGATGGCGGCCATTTTTTTCACGTTCCACCGATGCGACAAAGTGCGATTTTTGAGGGATTAATTAGGACCCTATCGACTACTCATTTTCGCAGAGATCACTTTGTTACTAATTTTTTCAACCTCACCTGCATAAACCTGCCTAGATTGACTATACTATTTGTATAGATCTTCAGGTGTTCTATATCTACCAACTCTTGCTCCAGATTGTATCGCATTGTATTGAATGCCATCTATAAGCATGGCAACAGCATTTTTGCCTCTTATATCACACTGACGCAAAAACTGCTTGTCAAAATCTTAATTTGTCCAATATTCGTCAGGTCTTTTATGCACTTGAGGGATTAAAAGTTCCCTTTTAATCCTTGTTTCAAGGGAGTAATTTTACTTTGTTTCCCGGAGATTAAATTTTTACTTTATTTCCCGGGGATTAAGTTTATACTTTATTTGGCGCTTTGCTCAAATTTAAAAAACGAAGCGGCATTCTAAAGAGAATTTGATGCCCTTTAAAAAGATGTATCATGCCTTCCCATTTTAGAAAGTAAGGGTAGGTAGTAGCCGCCTCCGCTAGGGGGTTGAGGATACAGGGATGTAATTATAAGTTAAACGTGTCCCCCTGAAAACAAAAGTTCAGGGATCAGAGGGTTTTTTTCAAACTCTTACGTACAAAGCCGTAAACCTTGCCGGACTGTTTTCGATGGGCCACCCTCTGTATATGAAAACACATAAGTACAGAAAAATTTGCAATAAAACCCATAAGGATACGAAACTCAAGATTTACTCAGATTATTTGTCACACTATTTTCAAGGTGTAGCTCCTGGTATGTTTTCACTTCCTAAGAGTTCGAAAAGGAATAAATTATCTTATGCTTCACAGAATCCAATTTAGGCAGACGAAATTTCATTATAGCAGAACATTATTAACCTTGATGTAGGCATACAAAGTGCCTTTCCTACCTTCAATGGGAAACTATTATATTCCCCTCGTTAATAAAATTTAACAAGGGGCCGACAAGATCAAAACGCAAATTCAATATAAAGGCCCGGATTAACTTCGTTATGTGGAAATTCTCGTCAGTAAACGGTGAGATTGTGGCAAGGCCAAGCATTGCGACGCGCAAAAAGTGGTTGTTACTTACTCCCCCGGTTTCATGCCCTTACTTAATATATATGAGGGGTAAAGTATAATTATATAAATTTTGGGTTTCATAGGAAAAGTTTGGTTTTGGAATTTTCCTCATTAAATTTAGAGCTATGCAAAACTTTGATACATCTAAAATGGTTTTGTTTAATGTCTAAATTCGTGTTCTGTATTTGGAAACCTGGTGCTATTATCAAATTATGAAAATAATTAAGAACAATTTTGCTACTTGTTCTCATAAATATGCTTTGCATAAGACACAGAAGGAAAGTTTTCTGTAGCCGAGATCATGTAAAGAACCTTCGTAGTCGACAAATTGTATTAAGAAAATTTCCTAATTACATTAACTCTAGTTGATTTTCTCAAACTTAATTAAAATTTCGCAGCGACTGCCTTCTAGTCCTCATTCACTTCGTTAAATTTGACATATACACAAACAAACCGAGCCATGAGTTCTTGAGAAGTTTACGCTTTCCATTATAGTTAACTGGTTTGGCTTCATGTGCGTAATTAGAGAAATTCATCACTTTGAAAACCGAAAGTTACATTTCAAAGTATCGTATATTGGCTGTTTTTGATGGTTTTTGAACTGAAAATAATTAATTTTTTTTTTTCCAGAACCAACCAGTACCCAAAGTAATTGTAATGGGTTCCAGTACTGCTTCCGAAACAACTTTGAACACATCAACCGATAGCGCAAACACAATTGTCACAACAGTCACAGCAACGGACGGGGAACTAACCGAAGGAAGTTTAGATATATCCGAACCAATTGATATTTTCAGTTCAGAAGTCGTAGATTGCAAAAATAACGCTGTAATGCAACCGCTTCCTGCAACGCCAAAAACACCAGGTACAGCCACACAGAATACACCACTGACGACTAGGCGCGAGATGAAATTTACGTTTGATAATCTGGAGTCTTCCATAGGTAAGAAATCTTTGGATTTGTAAACTTATGGTCAATTCACTGTTTAATATTACGTGCATGCGGAACTTTTCCATTTATGCGCAAGTTTCTTTTCACTTCGTATGCTGTTGAGCCAGCTTAAAGTTACATACAGTTTACAGTACAAACTTCACAGTTCAACTAGGATTTGGTTCAGAATAATCGAAACCAGATGTGAAAGTCTTTGTTAAGCTTTCGCTCACATGGTATTTTACCCATCGTAGAAGCGTAAAAAAAAGCGCTGCGATTTTTTTTTTATAAGTAACTAGGTAATTAAGCCATGGTTGACGTCAGAATAAATTTTGATTGACGGAGCTTTAAATAAATTCAGGCAGCACTCGTTAAATTTCACTTTCGCTTCTGGTGTGGATTTATCTGCTAAGAAAAAAAAAAAAAACAAAAGTATTTTATATTCCAGGTGAGAACACGCCAAAAGCAGTGGCCATAATTCACGGCGGGAACCAATTTAACTTCGAGAACGCTCCGATTCCAATGGAAACGGAGCTGATACTACCGCCCGAGGAAAACCCCATGGAGAAATTTATGGACGAGCAAATGAAGCAATTAAAAATGGTGGAGGCGAGAAGGCGGAATAGTTACAAACAGGCCACACATGAGCAATTAGATATCGAGAGCGATAGCAAACTGTATAATAGAACGAAAAGAAATAGCGACGTGGGTGGCGTCATGAGCGACAGTAAGTTACACAGTCAGCGACAGAGAGAGCACAGGAGAAGTTTTCGAAGAAAATTGGATGTTAATAAGGACCAGAAACCGGAACGGACGTCACCGAAAAGGAGAGCTGAAAGGGGGCCGAATTCGTCGCCTGAAAATGAGACTGAATCTCCTAGACCAAAGCAAAGGTAAGTTCAATTTGAAATTTTGATTGAATTGTCCATAACTAGGTCAAATGTAGCACTTTTTTACTATGCGAGTTTTAATCAAGCGCGATCACTTGTTGTAAATAAATGTAGATTGTAGATAAAAGTTTGGGTTCGTTTGGGGAAAGTTAATTCTAAAAAATTAGAATAGTAAAGTTCCGAGAACCGTTTCAATTTATTCATCTCCTATTGAAATTTATAAATAACTCTAAAAAAGAAACAGGTAAATACAGGTTCTGTTCCAACAGACATGAGAACCGCCTTCCAGAATCAGTAATTTCCAGTTCCATGTTTCACACCTATTTTTCAATAAGTTGAACGTTCATCCTAATTGACAAATTAATTGATCGACTGGAAATTACCGTTCTAGAATGGTTCTCATGTCTGTTGGAACAGAGCTAGAGTGAAGTCTGAATATAGCGAGGGGTCAACCACTATACTTACAAATGTACAATGATTTCCATATTTGACAATCACTGATCAATGAGTCTCATGTACCTATTCCCATCAGAAATGCGACTGATTGCCAATGATTTTCAGATATTTTGTATAATTATCCGATTTCCAGCTGATTTTATTATGAAAACGATGTCTAATTGTTAAGCTTTGCATTGATATGACCAGAATAAACAGTCCTTTCTCTTATAAAAATACGTTTCCACTGAAAAATTGGCGACTTCTATATTTGCAGCTCATCCAAAAGTTAGCAACTTTTATTTTTATTCATTATTTTCATTCACTAATCGAAACTAATCCACACCAATTTTGTTGTAGGTATAAATAGTTGTTGAGCCCTAAATACCATTGCATGTCTACACTGCATAATATGGATCTAAAATAATGGATATTTCTTTGATTTCACTAGGATGCTCATCTGGATCAAAGACATCTTCAGTTAGAGTTTCACTCGACAAACTTATTTCTGATTCTGATTCAGATGTGCTATCGTCCCTGCTTCTCGCCCTGCCTAATATTTATTCTACTTTTCCTTTTCAAGTCTTCTGCCTTGGATTCGGGACTTTTTCTTTTGTGTCTTTCTAAGGGACATTCCCATAGCTCTTAATACTCTATCAAAAAACGACCCTGTTTCCTTGAAAAGAACCAAATTAAAGTTGACCCCTGAATAATCTCTTAATTGTAGCGGATCGCGAATCGCAATTGCTAAACCCTGAAATATTGTGTCTTCTTTTGGAAACTCGGATTCGAGAGAAGTTTCAAGATTCATGTTTTCATTTTTATGATCTAAAACATAGTCATACTTTAGGTCTCTTATCGCAAAAATCACAAACCAGTCAGAGCGAATTTTATTGGTTGAAAATAGTCAGAAAACTGGCTGTTGACGATTTGCACCAATCAAAAATGCTCCGACTGGTTTGTGGTTTCTGTGAGAACAGACCTAATATTCATCTCGTTCTTCGTCTTCTTCAAGTTCGAAACTCTTCGTAGTTTCGGATTCAGTTATTGGCTCAGTGATTGGGAAACTCGTTGGAATATCAAATACATTTCAAATTGTCTAGCACTCCTAAGCCTAAAACTTAGTCTTAAAGGCAAATTCATCAACTGACCGGTACGCTGTAGGTATCGTTTAAAATGTATGATATGCGATTTCTGGGTTATGCCCGTATTACATCTGTGTATTTTTCCGTGTATTTATTCATGTAGTTCAGGGTGACAACCGAAAAACTTCAAACGCAACATAAATCATTAATATGAAATACAAAATAATGTTGGCACCCTGAACTACATGAATAAATACACGGAAAAATACGCAGATGTAATACGGGCATTAGAATGAGATGATATTCCCTGCGATTAACACATGATTCTCAGCGATTGCCAATGGATTCCTATGAAATTCCTATGAAGTAGGTACTAGGAGATTCCTAGCGATTCCCAGGTTATTCCCAGGGACTCCCAAGCGATTTCCATGTATTCCTGATTATGCTGGCATACACACAAGTTATTTCGCGCGGTTTATCGTGGCATGTCGGGATGTGGCGGCTAGCATGCGCGAAAGAACGGCGTGGCAAAATTCGCGTCATGTTCCTACACTTGACAAAGTATTTAAACGATTTGGCACATGATTTCGCATGGCATATCAGTTTCGAAGGAAAAATCGTTTGTGTGTGGGCAAAAACTGTCATTTATCGTGTCATTTGAAAGTGCATATGGTCATGTACTAATTTTTAACGTGATAGTTCGTTACGCGGCGTTTATGTCTTCATACTAGCCTCAAAACCGTGACGTGGAATGGCGTGTGGACACGGGTGTGAACTGCACTATCATGTGATATGAGTACTGACGCCACATTCCCAATGAAAGCACGTCTGATATCCCTTCCCCTTCTATCATTGCGTGCGGCCCCTCCTAACTCACACACATGATTTTTCACAGGTTTTTGCAGATGACACGATAAACCGCGCGAAATAACGTGTGTGTATGCCGGCCTCAAGATTACTATGTGATTCCCAAAAAAACGTACAATGATTTCCACTAGTGGTTTACCCCTCGGGATATAAGGCTATAAGGGATTGGACCAGTGCATCAAAATTGGTTCATTACACTCGAGGTTTACTTTAAACGGTAAAAAATTACATCATTGTCCTATGAGAAATGTTTATGGGAATTTGGAAAAGCAAAAATTTGGGTTTCATTTATAGTACCCAGTCATTGAAAAATAAATTATAATACACAAACAAACAATCAAGGTAAAAATTAAGAAACAATAATTTATACTAACTTAAACCAATGACATCTTAACACAGATGACACCGCATCTTATTCATGAACTGATGTTTGTTGTGATCACAAGACCCAATATAGATTATGGGTGGTGAGCTACTCGCGGGGGGTCATGGTGGGGATGCATCAGAGTTATAAACAAGAATCGCTTTTCTGTCTGAACCTGTCATTCACTTGACCAAAATAATGAAGAAATGCGCACTGGTGCAACTCACGTTTATCTATCTATCTGCCTCTAACTCATACATTCGATGGGCGCGTTGATATGCGATCAATAGCGGAGCGTCTTCCGCTGGTATCACAAAATCGGCGTCATTAGTAATCGTATTGGAAGCCTCAGTTTTGTGAAAGCAAAGTTATACCAGGATACAATCTAATCCATAACAATTTGGCAACCTAATTGGAGGGGATAAGCCGGAGGTGTAATTAACTCTAACAATCACGACTTCTCATAAATTTTTTTCGCAATATATACAATTGACATTAAAAACCTTTTTGCAAATACCTCCAATAATTAAAAGAAATATTCACAATCAATCGCAAAGATGCAACCAAGGGGACATTGAGACTGATGAAATAAAATGCAAAATGTATGTGATTTATTGTGCAATTCTGTGTTCATTCTTTAAATTTCTATAAACTCGTAAATCCGTAGCTTACGATGAACCGTAACTTTTGTGTTTATAGAATCGTAAATATGGCAATTCTATATCTCCACACTCTTCTATTAAGGGCGGTCTGTGTCCACCTCTTTCCTGTTAAGTATTCGTTATTCCCTGGATATCTCTTCAATAATTTTTCTGCTCCGAACATTTCTCTTAGTCGTCATATATGAATTTGTTTGTCCGTTGGGCTTACCCCTTTCTCTATCGATGATTGATGAAGCTGTTGTAATACCTATTGGTCCAGTTCCCCTAGTGAAGTGCGCATCACAATGATATCGGGTCTTCAAAAAAAAAAAACGAATCAAAGGTTGCTTTGATTACGAGAGCGTACGTCGCATTATTGTTTCTCTTTAGGTCAGGTTTTTTGACATAACATTTTGACATTAAAGTTCATTAACAAAATTGAAGACAAATTATGCTAAGACATACGTTTTAAAAACCATAGCAATATTTTATTGGTTTTTTTTTTGAAGACCCGATATCATTTGCAAATCTCGAGTGATCAAGTCTCACTCCATCAATATTTTCTTTCTTATGCTGCCAGTTTTGAAGACATATGCCAGGGCCAACTTGAACAGCAATGGATGAACTCATAGTCTGCCTTGTTGTGAATACTTTTTATGAGGGATGAATATCTGATATCGATTCTTTTGCGTTATCCAATGCTCACGATTCAAAGGAGTCAGATCCTTCCTAGCCGTTCTCTATCCTCTGGATATATAGGCTTCTCTCAGATTTTGCCAGGTATTTCTATTCTGTGCGACCTGGAACCAGTCTAGTCCTGCTTTGTTGAGGAATGTTCCATTTGAGGATGCATATTCTATGGTGTAATGTCTTCGAACTTTGTTGTGGTAATAAACGTTGAATAGATGAGGTAATAAGCCTTGTTCTAAAAGATCAACAGGGGATCTGATGGCATACGTCAGTCATATTTGGAACTTGACTTTCGAAAGACATGGTGAGGCCAGTAGTGCAGCATTGGGCATCTCCAAGGCTTTGGATCAGGTGTGGGACCAAGTTTGTAACCCCTTTTGTTAATGAATTAACAAGGGGCCCATAATATACTCGGTTTGCTCAGCGAAAAATTATTAGGTGTGGGTTGATAGTTTAATCAGTACCACACAACTCAAATCCTGACGTATAGGTAAACCAATAAAATAATTAAGTAAAATTTTAAATTAAAATAGTAGATATATTTTTTCACAGTCAGTAAAAAATTCTGGATTGAATTATTTCAAAATATAAAATCAATAATTCTTGGTAAAACACCTTAGATCAAATCAAATAACTTTAAATCAGATTCGTCGAGCTCAAAAAAAAGAAAAATAATAGCATAATAACAATGCACCTCAATAGAATACTTGCCTTATAAATCCATTAACAGCCGCTGGCCATATCATTATCAGGAAATGCAAATATAAAAGATTTTGGTTTCCAGAAAACTAATTTTAAAAAAAAATTGGATATATGGCCAGCTTCTGCAAAAAAAAAAATTCAAAAAATCGATTTGTACCTGTAAAAAAGAATCAGAAGTTGGGTTATATAACGGTTAAATGGTCTGGAGACATAATTGAA